AGTATAGTTTCATCTCTCCTCTCTTGCTCACCAATGTGGCCTCAGCACCTAGTACAGGACCTGGCCAGAGGGTGGGTGAGTCCTCCAAGCTAGGGCCCCAGCCAAATGAATGCAGAGGTGGGTGAAGAACTGTGTCCCACTACCAGCTAGTAATAGAGACGTCACCTCCAACGGCTTAAACGCCGTTTAGAATTTGATCTTTCACAGAAAGAAGTCTGGAGGCTGCCAGTGCAGACCCATCTCACAGCTCCAGGAACACGGCAAGAATCCAGGCTCCTTTCTTATTTCTGCTCTGTCACCCTAATCCTCAGTCTCTACCCTCAGGATAGCAAGGTGACTCACCGAGCACTCCCTGTCCTGTAGTCCAGCTCCGAAGGCCAGTTGAGAGGGGCCAAACTGGTACTTCCCCACAGCTGAGTCAGCCCCGTTAAGGGTATCTCCACCTCATTGGCCACCCCTAAGTGCAAGACAGGCTGGGAAATGTAGTCTTTAATTGGGCACATTGACACCTGAATAAGTTTAGGGACTGATAAAGAACATGAGGAGATGCTCAGTAGCCAAAGAAGCAGGTTCCTGACTGCTTACTCGTCAATTTAAGGGAATGAGAAAGGCCTTGAGATCACCTTTGCGACATGAGGGCGTTGGAAGCTGCTATCTGACGGATCAGAGCTGTCCGCTCCCCTCCACAAGTGCCCTGCTTTCCCTACTTCAGCTTCAGTCAGCATTATTTAAGTCTCCTTCCTTTCTGTCCCCTGGAAGGGGAGCCCATTCCCTGCACCCTACCCGCCTTCTTGGCAATACTCCGCATATGCTTGCCCTTCGCCTGGACGGTGTGGGGACCTGCAAGGTGCTGACTTGGGCTCTGCTCCAGAGTCCAGTGTGGCCGTGGATGAGCCTGGTTTCTGTCTCTGGTGGTTGTCCTGTAAAGATGCACTCGTGTTAAACTGTCCTTTGGGAGCATCCCCACCCTGGCCCTGAATCACAGGCTCTGAGCTGTTTTCTGGCAGAGGAAGCAGGTTTGTGGAGGCCCCTGTCTCTCCCAGAATGAAGCAGTTGGTGAGGAGTCGGCCCCCGCGTGCCAGCGAGGCCGTCGAGGGAGAGCGAGCCTTCTCCCAGAGCCGGTGCACGCCAGCCACCGAGAGTGCATACCTCCTCTCTTGCTCTTCTCGGCCATTGTTGTATTTATGGACCATGGTAGACATGGTCGCTACGGCTTTCTGCCCGACACCCCTGCCCTCTGTCTGTGCAGCTGAACTATTGCATAGAGGGGAAACTTGGGGGAGGGAGGAAGGGCAGAGAGGACAGTGCTACTTCGCGCCAGACGTCTCCTGTCCCCCGATCTTTCCTGTGCGGCTGCCTTCCCAGAAGGTTCTGTGTCCTCTCAAAACAAAAGTATTGGGTTTGACATCCTATGTGACTGGTCCCCTGAGGCCTAGAATTCATGCAAAATGTGCCAGATAAATGAGTTTTACTCCTCCTCTGCCTCCTGCTCATCCTGGTTAACGTGGAAGAAAGCCCGCACTTCTGTCTTTGCTGTTAGCAGCTATGCACAGCCAATCACAGAGATTCTTCTTCGGATATTTGTGCTGAGATGTTTCGCTTACCTTCGGAAGAGGCCCCACAGAGGCTACAGTGATCTTGCTCTGGCTTCTTCCAGTGGTTGCAATCCCTCCGCCGAGCTTCCCTGCTTTTCCATTCTTTTTGAATCCCTCCTGAGGAAACCCTTCAAAATTGGCAGCAGCCGTGACTCAGTTTCTGTGGGGCGGGGTAGTCACTGGTGAACTCCAGAACCAGCTTCTTTGTTTGCCCCCGCCCCCCAAGGCTTCCTTGCAGGCCTTGGTGGCAGCGGAGGCAGGAAGGCAGGAAGGCGCTTCTGGCCTCCTCGAAAAAGCCCTTTTCTCTGATCCGTGTGCATGTTCTCCACTAAGTGGCGGTGAGGCCTCGAGCCGAACATCAACCTCACCGCCTGTCTCCTCACCTCCCTCAAGTGTTTGCTTTTCTCTTCTAGGTTGTTGAGGCCTGAGGAGAGCGACCACATCTGAAGGCCTGGGACTCGCCACGCGGAATCCTGTGCCCAGGATTTAAGCAAACCTTCCCTGTTGTCGTCAGAGAAAAGCCATCTTCCTAGAACATGGCAGGTGACTATTAGCTATGGGGGAGTTGCACTTTTCTAAATTAAAATTATAATTAAAAGTTGAATACATTGTTATAAAAAACCCAAACAACACTGAAGTGTATAAATTTGTTTTGTTTATAATGTGGATTGCTTCCTGGAATTACCTTATTTTGCGTTTTCTTACTTGTTCTGTGGGCTATTTAAATCCTGCCAAAATATAAGTTCCTCAAAAGTAAGGGCCCTGGTTATCCAGTCTCCGAATGATCCCAGCGAATGGTACATGCTCAATAAATAGTTGAGTGAATGAGCCCCAGAAGTAACCATGCTTAAAATTTCAGTATGACTCCGCATCTTTACTTGTCCCTTGCTCATGACAAACACTCCATCCTGCAATATTTTCTTCTCTCTCAACAATAGAACATGGAAATCCTTTCATTTCAGAACATAAAAATCCACCTTACACGTGATATTCTACATTAGGGTTTCTCCACCTCAGCCCTACTGACATTTTGGGCCAAATAGCCCTTTGTTTTGTGATTTGTAGGATGTTTAGCAGCATCCTCGAGGCTCTATCTGCTAGATGCCAGTAGTGCCCCCACCCATCGTCATGAAAACTGAAAATGTCTCCAGATACTGTGACATAGCACTGCCTCTAGTTGAGAACCGTTGGTGTAGTTATTTCATTTGCATCCATTTTCCTATTAAGCCCCCAAGCAGAGCCTATTCATAACAAATGAGTCTGAGAAGTTAAAATAAAAAATGTTAATCATTAATCTAATTCATGGACTTCAACCTTTATACTCAGTTGAATGCCCCAGAATTGTTTCCTTCAGACTAACCTTTGTATTTTCTCCTTACGGACTTAAACTGAACACTTTAAATCAAAAGTTTAAACCTTTTGGCCTTAGACCTTACCTGGGAAAATTTAAACGAATCACCAGAGCTACCTCCCTAAAAAAAATTAGTGCATAATCTCACGGAATCTTCTGAGCAAGGAAAGCACTGCTTCAGAGGCTGTTGGTAGTAGTGACACAGTCAGGCCCCGTGAGACCTGACCCTTAGACTGGTCATCCTTACACCCTGCCTTCCCTGTGGTGGGGCTCAGAGTCCAGCTTTTCATAGCTTGTCGAAGTGTGAAATGGTGATGGGGCTGAAGGAAGCAGAACTGTGTGCCAGTGCCTGACGCCTGCCAGTACAGGGTTCGCCCAAAACATTAGCTAGGGCACTTTTTCATTTCGCCGTTTGGGAACAGGGCCACAGCTGCTCAGAGGATAGCCAGACGAGAGTGGGCTTTCAGAGAACTTGGTCATGTGAGTTTTGAGGAATCATAACTGGACCCATTGCATATTTGTATGTTAGTAAACTCGGGTAGCCATGAGCTGTGCTGTAACTGGGTTAAACCTCGCCCACTGAAAGGGTTGGTGTTTCTTAGCTTCTGCCACTGTAACGATCCTGCACATTTCATTTCCGTCTTAGTCCGTGCTGAGTTTTGACAAAGAATCGCTCTTTGAGAGGGACCGTTTCTTTTCTGGACTAGGTAAGAAGGTGCTCATTGTCTACGCACACCAGGAACCCAGGTCTTTCAATGGCTCCCTGAAGAAGGTGGCTGTGGAGGAACTGAGCCAGCAGGGCTGCACCGTCACTGTCTCTGACCTCTACGCCATGAACTTCGAGCCGAGGGCCACGAGGAATGATATCGCTGGTAGGTTGCAGGACATGAGCTCTGTCCTTCTTTGTGTTTGTACATTCCTTTTATTGAGGTATAACTGATGCAACATCAGTTTCAGCTCACAGTGTAATGATTCAATATTTGTATGTGTTGCACAATGACCACCAAGAGCCCACGTAGCACTCATCACCTCACATAGTGACAAATTTTTTTCCCTCATAATGAGAACTTTCCAGATCCACCCTCCTTGCTACATTCCGATGAGCAGTACGGGCTTGCTTACTGTAGTCACCGTGCTATGAATAACATCTCCGTGACTTACTCATTTTATAACTGGAAATTTGTGCCTTTGACCCCTTCACCTGCATGGCCCACCCCCCAATCCCTGCCTCAGACAACCACCAGTCTCTTCTCTGTATTCATGAACTCATTTTTGTTTGCTTTTGGGGGTTTTGTTTGCTTGTTCTTGTTTTTGTTTTTTAAATTCCATGTATAAGTGAAATCGTACAGGATGTATCTTTTTCTGTCTGACTTCTTTCACTTATCCTCTAGGTGCATCGGCGTTGTGGCAAATGGAAAGGTTTCATTCTTTTTTGTGTGGCTGAGTAAGAGTATTACATTGCATATACACCACATTTACTTATCCATTTATTCACTAATGGGTATTTAGGTTGCTTTGGCCATGGCAAATCATGCTGTAATGAACAAGCGTATGCCTATATTTTTTCAAATTACTGTTTTTGTTTTCTTCAGATAAATACACAGAAGTGAAATTACTGGGTAAAAACGTAGTCCTAGTTTTAATGTTTTTAAAATTTATCTTTATTATTGAAAGTATTACAAATATCCTCTTTTTCCCCCCATTGACCCTTCCACTCTGCATCCACCTCACCCCCAGGCCTTCCACACACCAATGTCTGTATCCATAGGTTATGCATATGAGCATTTAACTTCTTTGATTAATCTCTCCCCACCCACTCATCTACCCCCACCTTCCCTCTGAGATCCCTCAGTCTGTTCCCTGCTTCTTTGTCTGTGGATCTACTTGCTCATCAGTTTATTTTGTTCATTAGGTTCCACATATGAGTGAGATCATGTGATACTTGTCTTTCTCTAACTGGCTTATTTCACTTAGCATAATACTCTCCAGATCCATCCCTAAAAGGTAAGGGATCCTTATTCTTTACATCTGCATAGTATTCCATGGTGTGAATGTCCCACAGCTTTTTATCCCCTCATGTACTGATGGGCACTTGGGCTGTTTCCAGATCTTAGCTATTGTAAACTGCACTGCTGTGAACATAGGGGAGCATATATTCTTTCTGATTGGTGTTTGGGGTTCCTTAGGATATATTCCTAGAAGTGGGACCACTGGGTCAAATGGCAGTTCAATTTTTAATTTTTTGAGGAAACTCCATACTGTTTTCCATGTTGGCTGCACCAGTCTGCATTCCCACCAGCAGTGTACCAGGGTTCCCCTTTCCCCACACCCTCGCCAGCACTTGTTTGTTGATTTACTGATGGTAGCCATTCTGATAGGTATGAGGTGATAGATCATTGTGGTTTTAATTTGCATCTCTCTGATGATTAGCAACGTTGAGCATTTTTCATATGTCTCTTGGCCATCTGTCCTCTTTGGAGAAGTGTCTATTTAGGTCCTTTGCCCATTTTTTAATTGGATTATTTGTCTTCCTTTTGGTTGATTTCTGGGTTCTCTGTTCTGTTCCACTGATTAAGTTGTATGAGCTCCTTATATATTTTGGATATTAAGCCTTTATCTGATGTGTCATTGGCAAATATGTTCTCCCATACAGTGGGATCCCTTTTCGTTTTGTTAATGGTTTCTTTTGCTGTGCAGAAGCTTTTTATTTTGACGCAGTCCCTTTTGTTTATTTTCTCCTTTGTTTCTCTTGCCCTAGGAAATGTGTCGGCAAAAATATTGCTATGAGAGAGTCTGAGGTTTTACTGCCTATGTTTTCCTCTATGATTTTTATGGTTTCACATCTCACATTTAATTCTTTTATCCATTTTGAGTTTATTTTTGTGTATGGTGAAAGTTGGTGATCTAGTTTCATCTTTTTGCATGTACCTGTTCAATTTTCCGAACACCATTTATTGAAGAGACTGTCTTTACTCCATTGTATGCTTTTGCCTCCTTTGTCAAGTATTAATTGAGCGTAATGGCTTTGGTTGATTTCTGGGTTCTCTGTTCTGTTCCACTGATCAATATGTCTGTTCCTGTGCCAGCACTAGGCTGTTTTGATTACAGTGATTTTGTAGTATAACTTGATATCAGGTATTGTGATCCCTCCAACTTTGCTCTTCTTTCTCAAGATTGCTGTGGCTATTTGGGACCTTTTTTGGTTCCATATAAATTTTTGAAGTGTTTGTTCTAAATCTGTGAAACATGCTACTTGTATTTTAAAGGGATTGCATTGAATCTATAGATTACTTTGGGTAGTATGGACATTTTAATGATGTTAATTCTTCCAGTCCTTGAACACAGTATATTCTTCCACTTGTTTCTATCTTCCTCTATCTCTTTTTGCAACATCCTGTAGTTTTCTGAGTACAGGTCTTTTACCTCCTTGGTTAAGTTTATGCCTAAGTATCTTAATATTTTTGTTGCAATGGTAAATGGGGTTGTTTTTCTTAGTTTCTAAGAGTTCATTATTTGTGTATAAAAATGCCGTTGATTTCTGGGTGTTAATTTTGTATCCTGCTCTGATCTTTATTATTTCCTTCCTTCTACTTAGTCTGGGCTTTTCTTATTGTTGTTTTTCTGAGTCTTTAAGTTGTAGGGTTAGAGAGTTTATTGGAAGTTTTTCTTGTTTTCTGAGGTACGCCTGTAGTTTTATGAACTTCCCTCTTAGGACTGCTTTCATTGTGTCCCATAGATTTGGAGTTGTTGTCTGTTCATTTGCATTTATTTCAAGGAAGATTTTGATTTATTTCTTGACCTCTTTGGTAACTCATTCATTGTTTAAAAACATGTTAATAGCTTCCATGTGTTTGAATGTATTTTAGTGTTTTTATTGTAGCTGATTTCTGATTTCATGCCATTGTGGTCTAAGAAGATGCCTGATATGATTTCAGTCTTCTTGAGCTTGTAGAGACTTGTTTTGTGTCCTAACATGTGGTCTCTCTTTGAGAATGTCCCATGTGCACTTGAGAAGAATGTATATTCTGCAGCTTTTGGGTGGAATGTTCTGTAAATATCAATTAAATCCATCTGATCTAGTGTGTCACTTAGGGTCACTGTTTCCTTGTTTTTTGTCTGGAAGATCTATGCAGTGAAGTCAGTGAGGTGTTAAGGGCCCCTAGTATGACTGTATTGCTGTTGATCTCTCCCTTAAAGTCCTCTAGAAGTTTTTTTAAAATAAATTTAGGTGCTCCTGTATTGGGTGCATATACGTTTATAAGGATTATCCTCTTGATGGATACATCTCTTTAGTACTGTGTAGTGACCTTTCTTGTCTCTCATTATGGTATCCATTTGGAAGTCTATTTTGTCAGATATGAGTATTGCTACCCCAGGTTTTTTTTATTTCCATTTACATGGAAAATATTTTTCCATCCCTTCACTCTCATCCTGTGTGACTCTTTTGTTCTGAGGCGGGTCTCTTGTAGAGAGCATATATTTGGGTAATGTTATCTTATCCACTCAGCCACCCTGTGTCTTTTTATTAGAGCATTTAATTCATGTACATTTCAGGTTATTATTGATAGGTACTTATCTATTTCCATTTTAATCCTTTACGCCTATGTTTCTCTCTCTATTTCTTCATACTATTACAACAGTCCCTTTAACATTTTCTGCAATGCTGGTTTGGTGGTGATAAACTCCTTTAGGCTTGTTTTGTCTGGGAAACTCTCTATTTTGCCATCTATTTTCAATGATAGCCTTGCTGGATAGAATAGTCTTGGTTTCAGATCCTTGTTTTTGCATTACCTTGAACACTTCATGCCATTCCCTGATGAGAAGTCAGCTGACAGCCTTATGGTAGCTCCTTTGTAGGTAACAGATTGCTTTTCTCTTGCTGCCTTTAAGATACTCTCTTTGTCTTGAACTATTGGCATTTTAATTATGATGTGTCTGGGTGTGGGCCTCTTTGGATTCTTCTTGCTTGGGACTCTCTGTGCCTCCTGAGCTTGTGTGACTTTTTCCTTGACCAAGTTAGGGAAGTTTTCTGCCATTATTTCTTCAAACAAATTTTCTATCCCTTGCTTATTCTCTTTCCCTTCTGGCACTCCTATGATGCAAATATTTTTATGGTTCATGTCCCACAGCTCCCTTACCCTGCACTCCTATAATTAATTTTTTTTTTTTGGATCTCTGATTGAGTGATTTTTTTCTATCGTCTTCTAATTGGCTGATCTGATCCTCAGCTTCCTCTAATCTGCTGTTTATTCTTTCCAATGTATTCTTTTTTTCTGCTATGTCATTCTTCATTTCTGACTGGCCATTTTTCATAGCACATTGTATGCGGGAAACGTATTTATACGTTTTACGTTGACTGGTAGTAGAGTGCCCGATAAAAACTACCCGCAAACAATGTGATAGTTTCCGTATCTTTTCTCATGTTGTTGAGCATCCTTACAATTAGTATTCTGAACTCTATATCTGATAGATTGCTTGTCTCCATTTCATTTAGCTCTTCATCTGGAGATTTCTCTTGTTCTTTCATTTGGGGCTTTTTTGTGTGTCTCCCTATTTTGGCTGCCTGTTTGGGTTTGTTTCTATGTATTAGGCAGACGTACTAGGACTCTCAGTCTTTTTGGAGGGTCTCTGGTTCAGGCCGATATCACATGCTGTTTGTTACTGGCTTTGAGTTCCCTGTTTGGAGCTGTCAACAGCCCACAACTTGATGTCCCCTCTGCTGGGATTGGGTGCATTTAGACAGGACCAAGATGCACACCCAAGTCTGCTTTTCCAAGGCCCAGGTCCAGAAGCAGATCAGGCAAAGACTCAAAGCACTCTGAAGTCCACCTCTGCCTGCAGGCTGATTTATCTGATTCTCTTAATGAGTCTC